GCATCAAGGCTTCATGTAGACCGAAACAGCACTCAAAACAAACCAAAGATCCCAGAAATTGGCTCGAATCCTCAGATTTACTGTTAGAACCTGAACCCCACCAGTAATCAGGTTCCCTCATACAAGCCTTGCATGGATACATCTTGCAACATACACAAGAATCCCGCCCGACGCCCCATTAAACCCGAAGGCACTACTTGGCGGTGTTCCCTGCACCCCAACAAGCTCGAAGGCCCGCAAGGCTTTACAAGAACCTACCCGGGGTTCGGCTTCAGCAGGGTCATGTGAAGGAGCTGATGCGGAGAGCCCCGAAACGAAGCCAAGAACCCGCAACCCGAAGCTCTGAAAAGCCTCAAAGCAGGCCGTCTCTCGAAAGATGAGGAATCCTTCAGCTCCACCTCACAAAACCACGAACTTCCATGGAACCCTAGAGGAACGCCGAGGCGCATGGCGTCCACCTCCGCGCTGCGAGGCCTCACCTCCCAGACCTCCGGGAGGATGCCTGGCGGCCGCAGTTTTGAGGCTGAGCCGTGAGGTTGAAGGGTTTTGGGCGAAATGGGCTGAAGCTTAAATGCCATGTAGTGCAAAGCGGGCCTACCGGCTCTGGGATTTAGAGCCGGGGGTGCTGAGAGAATGGGGGGTCAAGTCGCGAGGTTTCGATCCGCGTTGAGCATTTAGGGTTAAACGGAAAGCTCCTGCCTTATGGCAGCCCTTACAGCAACAAACCCTCAAACCTAAACCCCAATAACCGTCCGTCCTTAGAGAACAGCCCTTGAACCTCGAACCTCGAAAAGGAAAAGTGGTCGACGAGGGGATGACATGTTCTCCAAATGGTCCATGGATCTGAGTTGCACCCGGAAGCTCCAGAGCCTCTTGCTTAGGGTTTAGGGTTTAGGGTTTAGGGTTCAGGGTTCAGGATTTGGGGTTGAGGGGTTTAGGGTTTAGGGTTCAGGGTTTAGGGTTTAGGGTTTAGGGTTCAGGGTTTAGGGTTTAGGGTTTACTCAAGGAACAGACCTTTCAATTCATGAGTCGCAGTAAAGATCCTTCGGGAAATGATGAGAAGTACGGTTGATGGTATAAATCCTGCATTACCCATAATAAGGAATATACCATAAATCCCACAGTTTAGGGTCCTTAAAGTAATTCAGGATTTATATCCCTAAACCCTAAACCCTAAACCCTAAACCTTAAACCCTAAACCCTAAACCGTATCATCAACCGTATCCTTCCTTCCCCAAGCTTTGGAGTCGGGAGGAACCTGCAAAGCCTCAGCAGGAAAGCCTCGGGACCGCGGAATCGAACTTGAAGGCTGAACGCTTCAGAATCCCAAACGGTTTAGGGCTTTAGGGTTTTAAGGTTTAGGGTTTAGGGTTTTGGGTTTAAGGCCCTNNCCCTAAACTCTACCCCAAATCCGAAAACCCAAAATCCGACAAACCTGAACCCTAAGTACTTCTGGGCTGCGGCGCCACACCGGGGGGCCTGAATACGTCTGCGGACGCAGGGCTTCCATGACCAAGAAATCCTCAGTTGGTAGGGTTTTAGGGTTTAGGGCT